CGACTATTTGACCAAGACAGAAGAGAAAAGTTGACACAGTAATAAAATACTATTTGCCCAGTAAATAAGAACCACTAATGTGTTTTTGTAAGAAAGATACGGTGCTATGAGATAATCCGCAATTATTCGTTGACTGAAACGGTAAAATCTATGCACAGTGATGATTTTAGAGATAAAATGATATTTAAGCTCTCGCAATATATGCTGACAAGAAAAAGTAGTGAGCTTAATCCTTCGAGACGAATTTTATCATTTATAAAATAAACCTTCAACTTGAAAACCATTTTTACTTATTTGCAAAAAAAGCAATCAACCAAGTTGATTTTACTAAAAACTGAGTGGTATGGAGCCATTCCCAAAAAATTGAACATCCAATGACAAGCATAGATTTTTGGAATGACCTAACCAGACATTCACAAGGCGATCTGACAGCCTCTCAACGATGAACAAAGAAAAGGATTCAGCTTACGGCCATATGATGTGCAAAAGCCAAATGGAATTTTTGAATGTGTAATCGCCTTTTCCTAAGCATTTCAGCTATAAATGGCAGCAAGAATGTGTCAAACTATTTAACAAGAAAAACAGGATGCACATTCAGATATTTGGGGTATAATTGGCAGAAATGACAAAACCGGGAAAAATTCAGCAAGAAACTGGAACAACAGCTATTCATTTAGTGGATGAGAGTCTACACTTCAAAAACTAATAATTTTAAATTGAACAAAAAAAAGAGGAAAATCGTTGACATGAGCGTTAACATTACCCGAGACAGCACAAAAAACTCTGGCATGTCTCAAACTAGTACTTCGTGAAGCGTGGCTTCCTATACAGGTAAGGAGAGACATGTTTGCTGCAACATGTTGCCATGAGTGCAGGAGCTATATGTAAACATTCACGCATACCGCACTAGCATAATCCTTAGGCAGCGCGCGTGGTGTGTGTGTTTGTGTGTTTCATAACGCAGACGCACCTCTTCATTCTGCATGATTTGACTGCTTCAGCAGTTCAAGCGCGTTCGACCCGCACTTCAACCCGCACTCCGCAGGTTCAAAGATCCACATGGCTGACTTGTGTGAGATCGAAAAGCGCGTCTGATAAGCTGCGCCCTATATAGCTGCAACGTGGCAGCATGGAAATTGTGGCTGGCATGATTCATCCGTACGGTCAAGTCAGTCGAGACTGGCCGCGCTCTGCCCTTCGCAATGTTAGACCTCCAACACGATGGATGGGCGTGGTGTCGCTTGTCGCAACAAATCCACCACGTCTGACTTTTCTTGACACTGACGCCATCTTCTCACTTCTCAAACGATCTCGTTTTCACTCGTTTTGCTAAGATCAACCATCTATTCATTGTATATAGCAAAAAATATTTTCAGCCAGCCGAGATGGGCATCACGCGTAATCCCCTTCATGATCGAGTTTTATATGAATTGCCTCCATTTTCGCGTGTTTTCCATTCGTCGTTCCTGGTCCCATTTCTAGCCTATTTTGCTTTATTCCGTCTTGCCAGCTTATTTGTGAAAACCTTCATGTGGCAAAGCTATACGGGCTTCAAGTAGGTTTATTAATTTCCGTAGAATGTTTTGTGCTCACTTTGACGTAAATAATTTATGAACATCTATTCGCTGTCTTTTGCAAACGGATTAGAATGAAATGCCTGATGCAAAAATATGGCCGAATTACAATTAGCTTTCAATTTTGTAGACGTTCATTTTTTAAAAAACTGCGCTCTTCTAGCTATACACGCAGTTAACGTCAAATAAGCCACGATTATTGATCAGCCAATATCGAACGTTATTCTAGCGATGTCGACGCAATTTGAATAGAACTCGCAATCGCGCCCTAGCAAAAG